TGGTAGGTCGGAAATAATTTTTTAATGTTTTTTTTCAATAATTAGTGTGACAACAGATGCCATTTTGGCAGCAACCCGCAACCACCCAGAGCAAACATTGTCGCACGGTCAATCGCATTGAAAAAATAATAGGGTCGGCAGAAAAAATAGGGTCGGTCGGGAACTGGAACCACAGGTATTTTTTTACGCCATGGCAACATTTTCTTGTCAATCATATTTTTAAAACCCTTAGACAGCTGTAGGTCGCATTACCTTATAAGCTTATGGTTCCCATCTATGTGCCACAATGCAAGGGGACCAGGCACCCAGTAACGTCGTCTATGAATAGTCTGAAGCTCGAGGGCTCGCAACATGACACCAGCTGGATTGACTCTTCTCATTGCTTCTCGCATTCTCCACTGTTGAACCCTAATTCCTCTACTTGTTAGCATACCAGTCATTCTTCGATAACCGATATTTGGGAAGTCCTGCATAAGCTCAAGTATCATACTGTCAAGCTGCTCATCATGTATGTCAGAGTACGTTGACCTAATGCTTAACCCAAACTCTGCCATGCGACGTTCGATTGTTCGCATACTAACGTTCATCATAGCTGCCATATCTCTTATACTAAAATGCCTTTCAACAAGGAATTCCAGTTGCTCTTTAGTAATAACATACATGGGCCTACCTTGCCTTCCCGAGAAAACTCTTTCAGGTGCAGGCAGAGGGTTGCAATACTGCGTAAGTGTGTCCCGTGCTCTTCCAATTAAGTCCACTAATGTAGTGTTATTGTAAAAATAGCGTGCTAAAACTCCATGCAACCAGTCTAACCTGAAATGGATTGCATCAATCGTGTTGCAGTCTAAATTACCCCTTTCCAAATTCCGAATGCATTCCAACAATGCTTCTGTTAAAACTCTGTTGATTGCATCCGCCATGTTTAATGAACTGCGGTGGAGAGCGTTTGGGATAAGAAAGGATAAGAAGTGATACGTGAGAGCGTCCGATATTGGTTACCATTCTTTTTAGCCGTGACACAACAGAAAATGCAGTTTAACAGCTAGAAAATGCAGTTTGTCAGAAAATGCAGTTTGTCAGAAAATGCAGTTTGTCAGAAAATGCAGTTTGTCAGAAAATGCAGTTTGTCAGAAAATGCAGTTTAAAAGAAAATGCAGTTTGTCAGAAAATGCAGTTTAACAGAAAATGCAGTTTGTCAGAAAATGCAGTTTGTCAGAAAATGCAGTTTAACAGAAAATGCAGTTTGTCAGAAAATGTAAAACAACAGAAAATGCAGTTTAATGTAAATGATGGGGTCCATAAAATTTAAAATAGCATCGCAAATTAGTAATATTAACATTTTGACGGTAATCACCCGTCATAGTATTTTGGAGGTTCATATCTTCGGTTCAGTACATGCTACGTAGATGAAAATACCACCATTCGATTCAGCGAAATAATATTTCCTGATTCCTAATGATAGTTTTAGTCAAAGACAAACATTATAGCGATTTATGACCTTTGAAAGGTCAAGACGTATCATATTTCAACAAATTACATATTTGTTCGAAAAATGTAAACAATGTTCACTAAAGCCATACCTTTCGCCGGACCCAACTTCGGCCCCTTTGAACATGTCTTTTTCGATCGTTGTAGTCTTGTTCGACTCACAATCAAAAACACTATTTACAGTGTTATTTTGAGGCTTGTACATGTAGTCTCAGTTTTTCGTCTCTTATTTCGATATTTCATTCTCTTGCGATATTAGCAAGTCAGCGGGATATTTTTTGACTGGAAATGCATTTTAGATTTGCCAAAACATTGCGTGTTTACATCCTAGAAACGTCGGAAATCGTTCTGAAGCTGACTCTTCCACAGTCCCTCATTCGTACGCGCGGTCGCGTAATTTGAGCAGCGCTGATTTGATGGACTGTGAAATCGTGACTCGAAAACTTGCAAAAACACTCGAAAACTTGCAAATGTGCTCGAAAACCTAAAAAATCGTCGAATATGGAAGAAATCGTGGATGTTTTGGACGATAGCGGTCCTCTGCTGTACATGGGAAGTGTTTTGTCTGAATCGTGCTAGGAATTAGAGATATTAATGGAATATTTATCTCTTGAAGACGATGATGGTGAGTGTTGACATTTTATAGCAAATATATGCCTTTGACTCTTTGACTGTAAAAATATAATATAGGCGAGATTTTGATTAGGTTTTCGTGTTTTATATTGTTTCATGAAAGTGATTGTACCTTTACAAGTTACAACTTCGTAAAAGCTGAGTAAATGCTCTATAATACGGATTATTTTTATTTAATACTGCACAATAATTTCCACGTGCTATTTTATATAAATATATACGCCAATTAACATGTCAACAAATATAAAGTCAACAAGAAGTCCAACCTCGTACAAGAAGTCCTGCTCAGGGGAAACATGAACTGAATCGCCCTCGTCTAATCGTTTTGCCAAAAACTAATATATTTTATGTTGGTCTTAAGAGTTAAGTTACTCTTTGTTTTTGCCAAATGTGTAAGACTTTTCACTTTTGCTTAAAATAGCAATATGTGAAATATGCATGCTGAATAATAATTTTTTTAATGAAAATTATTTAGCCAATGGGGATCTCAAGTTCTAGCTCCTTGGTTAGTCGTCGGCATTTGAGGTTTAGGAGTTCTGAACAGGCCTCCATGTTATGGATTTATTTTAACCTCTGTGTTTTACCTAGACCCCCCCTACCCCCCTCAGGTTCAGCATTACCACATCATCACCAGTAAATAGGGCTGGGCAATATTTTGATATTATCAATGATACACAATGATTGTACGTACTCAAGATCATCATATTGAAAGTAAAAGCTGAGTCATGATGGAGTTATCGTCAGGGCCGAACTAACAAAGCTTAAAGGGAAATGGCAATATATTTTTTTATTTTCTCGTTTGAAAGAACATTTAAAACCATATATAAAACTCTTTTACCGTTTTTTCATGTCTTGCTTACTTCTACAAATATTTTAATCGAAAGAAATGAAATGTCCGCCATCTTGAATTTTTGTGGATATGCATGTTACGTCACAACAGGGGTCACGCAATATTTTTATCTAGACAACCACTAATCATTTTGCACCCAAAATTATACTCTGTATGCTCTTGGAAATATCAAGATCACTTGAAACGTTTAAAACATCTACCAGTCTATATTTGGTCAGTAACGAATACTTTTATATGGTTAATCCCTGTTGTGACGTCAACAAAACTACCGTTAATGAGATCAAAATTTTATCCAAGATGGCTGACATCTCATTACTTCAAGTGAAAATATTTCAAGAACTAAGCAAGATATGAAGAATCGGTAAAAGAAGTTATTAAATAGTTTCAAAAGTTCTTTCAAATGAGAAAATAAAAAAATATATTGCCATTTCCTACAAAATCTTAAAAAAACTATGTTAATTAATCCATCCCTGAATTGGAAACCAAAATTTCATATGGTGTGTAGGTAACAATTTTCACCTATTCTCCCTCATGCATATATAACTTGATGTGGTACGAGGGTAGCTAAACTAACAATAACGAGGAGCCAACCATGTTAATTTCTTTTGAAAACAAAGTTGTCCATGAGGTCATAAAGACCCAATACTTTATTATTTTGTTTGATAATTGCCAAAGGATTTCACACAGAATCCCCTCCCCCAATACCCCCAAGTTAATACATCCCACTACTACACAAAATAATACTTCTTTCCCTCTGAGTCAGAGACGAATTTTCATATTTTCGTTCGGGGGGGGGGGGATAAATATCTGTGGAGGATGCTGCTGCTTGCTTTGGCCGGGGCGTGGTGGCAATGCCCGGAAAGGCCAAGGAAAAAGTTTACCAAAATTTTTTTCTAGGCCTGCATGGCGAGATCTGAGACCATAATATTGGTAATTTTACAAATTTAGTAGTAAGAATAATCAAATATGAAACTATCAAATCCAAATAAACCAAATG